CTTATTGTAAGGGGACTGTTACCCCTTACTAAAACTCCGTGGGAGTTTTTTGGTTTACCAGCTTCAGAAGGGGAAGGGTTCATGAGACTGACAGACCCCAGAGACAATGGAAAGCAGTCAACACTCCAGCTCAGCCTGACTGACAGGTTGTAAGTGGGGATTGTTCTGGCTCTCTCTCTGAGCAAACAGGGAGCTGAAAGAGCAGAGCGAGCTGTGTGCAGGAGAGGTCCTGCAAAGACAGAGATCTGAAAGAGGAGTACAAGAAGAAGTCCTGCAGCGACAGAACCAGACACAGACAGGCCAAGCAGTGCAGACCCTGTGTTGAGCAGCAGACTGGCAGTGCTCAGAAAGCCAAAAGGAACAGAGAAGCAACACAAGGAGCTGGAACAGCCAAGCAGCACAGCCTGCAGCTGGATGTGGTGAGCTACTGGGACCTGCAAAGTGTGGGGAAAGGCTCTGGACGGGGAAAGGCTCAGTCTCTAAGTGGCCAGACCCCTCTCCCAGTCCAGAGCCTTTCCCCACACTTTGCAGGTCCCAGTTGCTCACCACATCCAGCTGCAGGCTGTGCTGCTTGGCCAGTTCCAGCTCCTTGTGTTGCTTCTCTGTTCCTTTTGGCTCTTTGAACACTGCTAGTCTGCTGCTCAACACAGGGTCTGCACTGCTTGGCCTGTCTGTGTCTGGTTCTGTCGCTGCAGGACTTCTTCTTGTACTCCTCTTTCAGCTCTCTGTCGAGACAGAGCCAGAACAATCCCCACTTACAACCTGTCAGTCAGGCTGAGCTGGAGTGTTGACTGCTTTCCATTGTCTCTGGGGTCTGTCAGTCTCATGAACCCTTCCCCTTCTGAAGCTGGTAAACCAAAAAACTCCCACAGAGTTTTAGTAAGGGGTAACAGTCCTCTTACACATGCACTGCTCAGGGCTTTGGCAGTGATTTAAAAGGACTGGGGCTCCTGTTGCTGCTGTTGCCAGGGGTAGTGTCAATGGTGGCCAGGAGCCTTGGGCCCTTTTAAATCATTGGCCCTGGGGCAACTGCCCTCTTTGTCGTCGTCCCCACACACACACACATCCTCCATCAGTGGCCCCAACTGTGTTAGCAGTCTTGGATTTAGAGGCTTGGGCTGCAGGTCTGTTTCACTATTGTATAGACTTCTTGGCTGGGGCTGGAGCCTGAGCTCTGAAATGCTGTCACTTTGCAGGGTCCTAGACATGTCTATAGGCCAGCTAGTATAGACATCTCTGCAGTCAGAGGCAAAGGAGGTTTAAGAGATTACGAATTGTTGTACTGAACTTTAAAACTAGTGTACTGAGCCCATATTTTTTAGTGTCTAGCAGCTTTAGGAATTTAAGTTCCCAAGTTATGATGGTGGTGTGCAGATTTACTTTGAAGATGTGAACTAAAAATTGATATATGGAGTTGCTTTCTCAAAAGTGTTCACTCACAGGTAGAGTGACAGAGTATTTTTGTATGTTTTTATCTTTCTGAGAGTACATTCCAAAGCTTGGTTATTGTCTGATTTTACCCATATTGTTGTTCTCGGGGTATTTAGTGGAGTGGGTTAGGTACTTTTAGAGCCAATCTCCTTTCAGGTTCGGATGGATAGGTCTGGGTTCTTCTGGATCCCGCCACCTACTCAATTTTATTCTTTCTGATTGATGTACTTGGCGGTGCCTCCACCCCCCTCACTCCTTCCTAGCAGGGTTGCCAGGGCAGCTTGGGAGGAAAATTCTAGCCCAGGATAATCCCCACGTATTCGCCAGATAGTTGGAGACTCCCAGAAAATAACACAAACACATACACTATAATAAACACAATTATATTAAACAGGAGACAATTATAACAGAACAGGGTAAAACATTATTTTTAGGGTCACCGGTGCCCTGCAACTGTGAAGTTAGTGTCCCGTTGGTACGCGTACTTTGTTGGGGCCCTTGATGACTGTTGACCACACAATCCTTCTCTGCAGAGGTTTAGCAGTGGGGCTGACTAGGTCCAGTACAGCCCAAAGGACTCACAAATGGGAGAAGGCAGCAAATCCCTCCACAGTTTAATAGGCTGCAGGTAATAAAATCCCCAAACAAATTCCCTGACTTACTAACTAAAAATTGGTGCACTCACACACTCCATGAATGAGCCTCAGGTTGAGAGATGACTCAGTCTCTGCAAAGGGCTGCTCTCTTCTCACAGGGGTCCTCTTCAAGCAGGAACCAGGCTGCTTCGGTCCCAGAATTTCCCCTTACCGTGAAGGGGTGCAGGGCTCAAGATGCAGACCACACAACTGCACCAAAATTCAAAACTATAGCCTCCCAGGCCAGCCTCCAGACCCACACAGCAGGCAGCAGCCCTGAACTTGCTGCTAGAGCTCAGCTGACGATGCAGTGACTCTCTCACCCAGGGAGCTGGAGAGCCAACTCAGCCTGGCTGGGGAAGCCTCCCAGCAAACTCCACAACTGGGAATCAACAGTGGAGACATAAACCCAGCTGAGGGATCCTGCCTTCAGGTCCCTAGAGGCTAGTTCTCAGGGGGAACCCTGCATGCAGGCCTGGGGCTTACTAGCTCCCACACACTCAGTCCTCCCCTTTTCCTGGCTGGCTCCAGACTCCCCTCAACAATGGTCTCTCCTTCCCCCTGGGAGGGGCATCTCACTCCCCATGGGTTGCCGGGCAGACTCTGGCCCTGGTAGGGAGGGGGAGCCAAGGCAAACTCAGAGTGCCTCTCCCTGAGCTGCCAGCAGACAAAGCCCCGGGAATCCAAGCAATCTCCTTGGGGGTTACAATTATATGCTGTGAGAGGCACTGCATGAACTATGGCTCTTGAAAGTTATGTTGTGGGATGTATTCACCATCATAGCAGTGACAATATGTCTGCAATAAAAAGTATTAAGATAATCAGTATGCATTTATATAGGATAATAATTCTTTATATAAATAAAAGCCTTTATAAAATTATCATGTTATTTGCAAGTAATCTGCACCCATATATTGCACATACAGTTATTCAATTATACCTCTTAAAATAGTTCAGTAAATTTCTATAATAATAAATGTCAGTGCATCTGGAATCTCCATATGATCACATAATTTTCTAAGGGTACGTCTAGAATACAGGCTTCTGTCGACAAAGAGCATCTAGACTACATCCAGTTCTGTTGACAAAGCAAGCTGCTTTGTCGACATGAGAGTGTAGATACAAAGGACAGCATAGATGCAATAACGCCTTCTGTCGACAGAACTCTGTTGACAAAAGGCGTTATTCCTCATAAAATGAGGTTTACTGCCGTCGACAAAACTGCTGAGTTCTGTCGACACTATGTCCACTTTTGTTGACAAAACCCTGTAGTCTAGACACACCCTAAGACCTTAGATGTTTGAAATCAACAGAAAATCTCAAGTGAACCATTACTGGAACTAACTGGAGAATCAGTGATAGCAGACAGAATATGAAAAATTCTTCAAGAAAAGGATGGAGTCTCTTGGATGGAATTGTATCTGGATGAAAAAAATCAGTTAAAATTACCTTGGGACCCTATTATTGTACTCTATACTCTGTGTGGTGGTTTCATAATGTTTGATACACAGGACAAGCATTCTGAATGATAAAAGTCTAAACGGCATTTCACTAACACTTACTGAAAGGGTAGTCATGATGAGACTTACTAAATTCCTGATCTGTCAGATTTTTACTATTAGATTTATGAAAAGAGTTAAGCACAAATAATTTGGATACTTGTAATGTACCTTTTAAAATCCCAAATCCTCTGAGTCCAAAATCCAAAATGTACACTGGACATACTTTTGTTAAAACGATCAGTATGTGTCTCCTTGCTTCTCTGTGCCTTTCAAAACTGAGGATGTCATGCTTTAATCCCTCGTATTTGAATTCATTCATGCTACCTCTTTACAGACTTTTTGGAGAACCTGTGTAGTGAATTATTAGCATGATTATTATTTCAGCCATAGTAAAATTGCACATCAACACTTAGCAAATGGGGGGAAATTACATTATCCATTCTGAATAATTTCCTACTATAATATAAATGTTAACCAGGACAAGTCTTTGAAATGGATACTGATTCTTTAAATTCTTTCCTGTCTGTTCCAGGAACTAGTGAGATCCTGCTGATAATGAAGTACAATGTGTCTAAAGTTCACTTCTAAATACTTGGCTCTTTGCTGTAAAAGGCATCTGCATTCCCTTTATAATTCTGAACCACCAGAGATCTGCCTAATCTTGAAGATCTGATCCAATATCATTCAGAAAAATCCTTGATAATAATTCCGCCATTCAGATCAGTGAAAGTGCTAAAGCCTTGCTGCTTGTGTCTTAAAAATATCCTGAGGCTGGGGAATCAGACCTTGGCTTATGGGTTTGGAGATTTAGCTGTTTAGTAATAAAATGATTATTACTATTATTATTCAAGTTCTTAATCAACGCAAGCAAATGGCATCTGTTTGTTATCATTCTTTCTACAGAAGACAAAGGCTCCAGTCCCTATGGTGCTGACTGATGGCCCCAAGTGGTTGCTGGATGTGACTTGGCAAGGAGTAGAAGACAACAAGAACAACTGCATCGTGTACAGCAAAGGTAAACACAAGCTGATTTTCTTCTGCTTTCTTTGCAAGAAATTAAGGACAGCATCAAAACATACCCATTACATAAGACAAAGCAGGTTGGAGAAGTATGTTTCCTTTGTCTTGTATATAAGTAGTTCTCACTCCCCTATTTCATATTTTAAATAAAGTTGCCTTTTACTAATAAAACCACCATGCTCTGTCTAATATATTAACTGTTTTGGAAGCAGAGAGGCACCATAATTCAGGTAGATGCCAGATATAATATACATGTGCATGAGGAATAATATTTATTTCAAAGTAGTTATTTCCAAATAGCATTAGCTTGGATGCTCTGCTGCTGCTATTTTGAAATAACTACTCCCAGCACTGTTCCCTCTAAGCTGCGCACAGCTTCACATGTGATTAATCAATCCCTATGCAGTCAGAGGCTCAGGGATTGGTGCACAGAACCTGAGCCTCTGAATGGGTGGGGCTAATTAATCACCTCTGAAGCTGTGGTGCTGTGGTTTAGAGAATTCATGTCTGTATGATAATAGAAAATAATTACTGCTAGCTTGCAGGATCATTGTCTTTGACATTCAAGTGTGTGACATCAAAATATATTGAAGTTATTTTTGGTAAATTTTCTCTACAAAGATAGAGTATCATGTATAATATGGAAGAACTGGAATGCATATTACTGCCTTATTCAGAATGGAATATCAGACTTGCTCCACAGAGTGTGCCTAACTAACACAAAAATTATATAAATAGCCTGGCAGAGTTCAGGTTTTAATATTTCAACCCATATCATTATTTGTTTTTAAACTTTTTTTTCTGTTTTTCTCAATTAAATGTTCATAATGTGCACAAAATAATGGGGTTTGAGCATTCTTATTCAATTTTCATCAGTTTGAAAGTTCACAGTTGCGTGAAATCAATGGAGGATCAGACAATAGTATTTTAATTACAGTAGTTGTTGAGATTCAAAAAGTTAAAGCTTTATAACTGCTAGAGCATAACAAAAACATGAACTCTCAATATCACATGTCAAAATATGCAAAGTAAATACAGGTTGGAACTTCCCTGGTCCAGCACGCTCGGGACCTGACTGGTCCCAGATGAGGGATTTAGACAAATCGGAGAGGTCATTTCTACACGCACACACTGCTTCTGGCTCTGACTGTTGCCCTGACATCACACTGGGCTTCTTGGCTCTCCCTCTTCAGCCCCACTGAGCTGTGCACCGGGCTTCCTGACTCACCTACTCCTCCTCACCCCAGCCAGCTGGGCCGCATGCCAGGCTTCCCCACTTCTGGACCCCTCCCTCCTCTCCAGCAGTGCAGCAGCTTCACAGCTCCTGCTCATTCCAGGCAGCCCTCACCCTCCAGTATCACAGCAGCTTCCTGCACCCACCCACCCCCTGGAAGCCCATCTGGGCCACGTGTCAAGCTCCCAGCCCTCCCAGTCATGCCAAGCTGCTTTTCCTGCAGCCTGCCGGGCTCTCACCCCAACCCTCCTGCAGCGTGCTGGGACTCTCTGATCCTGCAATATCCATGGTCCAATTGCTGGACCAGAGAGTCCCGATTTATAGAAGTGAAATCTGTATATTGAAATCAACCTCTCATAAGTTCCCAAGCAGAGAACTTTGCCTATATGTACATTTCACTTAGTATTGATGGAAATATTTTTTCATGTGTTTGTGTGTGCAGTGAAATCAGAATTTACTGACACTTCCAAATAAAAATCTAATCTGTCCAAGCCTAAATATAAATCCTGTTATTCCCATACTTGATATCTACTTTAGGTCCAAAAGTAAAGATTGGTGTTTGGAGCAAAAAGCTCTGAGTTCAAGTTCCATGGTGCTAGGTGCATAGTATAATTAGCAACCATGATACATGATGTCTCCATGTACAATCATGGACACATTACAACACTATAGGGAACACACGCAGTGGAAACAACCCATCAGCTCTTGGGTTTTTTTTGGCTTTCTCAGGCAAAACCAAGTAGCAAAAATATGACTCTTTAGCCTTGTGTTAAACTCAATCTCTGAGCTTTGGGAATACTTCAGAAATTGTGTTGCTCTTGTTTAATTTCTTTTAGATTTTATGTCTAACCAAACAGACCTACTGAGATCAAAGATTTGTTTACTGAGACAACCTAATGACCATTTGAGCATCCAGGCAAATAAGCACCCATATCAATATATTAACATACAAAACACTAATCATAACATCAAAGACCTCTAAAAACTTACTAGAAACAATTACAACTTGTTCCTATAATCATTGCAATTTATACACTTATAAGAGGATTGCTTTTAAACCGCCACAAGCCTTTGAAAGTTGAAAGGCTGAAAACAGGAAATTTGCATGTTCAAAATGAGTTGCACACCAGGGTCTTACAAATTCTTTCTGTTATAATTACAAAGCACCAGCACATTAATTCTGTAACCTACAATACCTGCAATACCACAAAAGTGGGTGCAAATCTAAAAGGGGATCCAGTCATTATTTATATGATCACATCTATAGTAACATTGAGGTTTTTTAGGATAAGGAAAACTTGTTTCAGTGTGATGTACACTTACTCTGAGTGAAAGAAACATTCATTTAATTAAAATGAACTTACTTTCACTTAAATGATTATGTATGTTATTTTACATTTCAGTTTATGGTGACATGCTATTAAAAGGGTAGCTCTATGATATTGTGCTGCAAGGTATCTCCTGCAGAATTCAAGAGAAATTCTGATACCCAAGCTATATTTTGTAACGTGTGGTTACAAAAACAGGTGACAAAAATCTGAATCAGAACTGTAATTGTAAATTAAAAATCTGAAACTACATTAATTGAATTTGTAAAACATATTAGAGATGTGTGGAATGTTCTCTGCCATCTCTACCCATTGTGCATTTTGGTTTGGGTATTCTGTTGTTCATTAAGCACCCAATCATGCATATTTTCAGTGCCAGGAACACCAATGGCATGCACTGGGTTTTCTGGGTCAGGACTTATGGGACTGGACCTTAAAACAGTGCCAAATACAACATTCTCAAACATTTCAGATTATATTGTCATGATTTATGCTGACTTTCAGTCTTCTATGCTGTCATTACTTCAAATATAATGGTGCTACTCATCATGAGGTAGTAATGTGATGTTATGTTGCAGTTTTTTGGGTGGTTATGGTTGTTTTTCTTACCTACCTATTGTCATGTCAGAAAGTAGTTAACTAAAAACAGTGTAGGCTGATGGCATCATGTGTCAAAGGTTATTCTCAGTATATTCAAGATAAGATGATTAGACTGAGCTGGCACATTTCTAAGATCAAAATTAGGCTGAAAATCAGCTAATGTTAAACGTTTAGGGTCAAATTTTGCCTTTGGCAGTTGCATGCATCTCTAGTTTTGTGCATCTGAGAATAGAGTTTTGCTCCAAGTATGTTGCATGAACCCTGGAATGGCATTTCTTGATTGCTGGGTCTGTAGAGGCTCTAATAATTAATGTAAAATTCATATTTCAAATAAAAGGTGTAGGGGGAGATTTTCTAAGCCACAAAGGGGAAGTACGTGCTCAATTCCCATCAAAAGTCAGTTGGAGTAGGTGTCATTAATTCCCCTTTTTGCCTTAGAAAATTTCGGCAGTACTTGTGCTAGGTGAGTGAACATGAATTTTATATATTTGTTTATACATATGGGATTAGATATAGGAAACAAGGCTTCTTTATGATTATATAGTGGAATGCATACTCAGAATCCAGATATTGACTTGTCACATTTTCAATTTCCAGTGCATAGGCTGTTTTTAATTTTAGTGTTTCATAGAACACTAGAACTCGAAGGGATCTTGAGATGTCATCGAGTCCAGTCCCCGCCCCTCATGGCAGGACCTAGTACCACCTAGACCATCCCTGATAGATGTGTATCTAACCTGCTATTAAATATCTCCAGAGATGGAGATTCCATACCCTCCCTAGGCAGCTTATTCCAGTGTTTAACCACTTTGACAGTCAGGTAGTTTTTGTGTGTCTCTGATTAATTGACTAAACTTTGCATCAGAAAGTACTTAGCAATGAGCAGAATATGAATGAGAAAATAGAATTGTTCAAAGTGTAAAGGCAATGATCCTTTACTATCCTTTTAGGCTATGTCTGTAATATAGATTGAAATACAAAACAAATATAGATTGAACCTCTATAGTCCAGAATTTCTGGTCCTGCAACATCCATGGTCCAGTATGATTTTAGTTAGCTGGCTGTCCACTTATCATGGGTGTGGCAAAGTTTCCATACAGTTTGTTTACAGCCACCAGTCCTGGCTCTCAGTGATCTGTGCTATTAACTCTAATTTACTCCTTAAATGTCTTCCAAGAGTCCAATAAGCAGTGGAAGTGTTGGTAATACTGCTAGTCAGTATTGATCTCCTGTGGCTTGGCCTGGTCCCCACTATTCCCCTGCCCCCCATGGGCTGAATTCTCTGGTTCAGCACCAGTCAGGTCCTGTGGGTGCCAGACTAGAAAGGTTCAACCTGTAGTATCCAATTAATACAGTTTAAGCAACTACCCTTTTTGCTGTTTGTTTATATTTCTCTTATTTTTGTACATGTAAACTTTAAAAAACAAGTTAAGATTATTTTAAAACTACATTTAAATCCAAAAATGTTGTGTTTTAGTTATTTTAGTTGTGATTAGTTAGAAACCACAAAAAGTAAACTATCAGGTGCTTTAAGAACTCCCTAATACATAATAATAGATATTTTTAAAATATGTTAGGAATTGTGCTTTACATAGACTTACACATTTTTTTCAGATAATTGAAGTTGAATGATTCAAGATACAGCTGTTATTGAAAAGACTGAGATGTTATTTATGCATGAACTGTATGTTCATAGCAACTTAGTGTACGTGAGAAGTATTCATGTCCAACATAGGATTGTGTAAAAGATTTGGGAGAGCTATAAAATTGGATCTATGACTCCTTCCACATGCTAAGAAAGGACTAAGGTATTACCAAGAAATCTTCTGTTAA